ATACTTAGACTTTTTACAACTTTTATACCATTCATTCTTTTGTATACTTGTTCATTTGTGAATCACTTTAGTTCCTATCCTTTTTGTGACATAGCTTTCTATTGTTCACATATGCTGGAGCCCATGATACTTATTTTAACTGGATTTTTTATTATGCTTAATATTTTGTTTTGTGTTGATTGTATGAATGCAAGAAAAGGACCAAGGCATTTTTGTTTCATTTTGAGCACAACTACCTAACCAAATATTCAATTCACCTTGTGAGTGTGTGATCATTCGTAACCTCTTTGAGCTTTTTATCGATATCCATGTTGTATTTTCTAAATGCTTGTCTATGAGTGTTTAGTTTCCCTTTTTGCATGGATGTTGATTCTTTTTTTTCTTGAACCCTCAACAATTATTTTAGTTTGAATTTTTACCTTGCCTTAGAAAGTAGGAAGTATTCACTAAGATGTTGGCTGAATTCAAGTTGGAGAGAGGAATTTTTATGTGTTTATGTTGTGATTTTTATGAGGTTATGAAAAGAAAAAGAAAGAAAAGAAAAAGAAAGAAAAAAATAGATAAGCTTTTAAAAAGAAAAACAAAAAGAGTATGGAATAATATTGTGTTAATAAGTGATGTGTGTTGGTGTGAAACTTGTGGTGAAGAAGAATTGTGATTGAAATTATTTTGTTTGAAACTTTGTGGAAGTAATTACTCCCTTAGGTTTAGGTAAGTTTTTGTTTCGATTAGATTTAAGACTTATCACTTGTTTGTTAACCAAGCCAAATTACAACCTTGAAAATCCCTTGATATTCTTGCTTTTATATTTTCAATGTAAATTTTTGAATGCATAATTTAGTCCATTGTTTGAAAGATTGTTGGATGAGTGAAAATACCCTATTTTGTGTGTTTTTCATCTACCGATAATTGTGTTTGCTAGGTGTGATTCATTTATGAACTAGTATTGTTTTAGAATGTTTGGGAAAAAATTTGTATTTAGCATTTGTTTCGTGTTTATGTTATAGTTGTAGTTTAGTGGTAAGTGTTTACTTTGTGTGTACTGATTTTCATTTGAACCATTGCATTTGTTTTCCGTTTTCAAAACTTGTTGATTCATGATTCTTTGATTATCATTCGTTGTTTCTTTTGTTTATTTGACTTTGTTTGAGGACAAACAATGATTCAAGTTGGAGAGAGTTTGATAAGTGAAAAGTGTAGTTATTTTATATATATTTTTTGTTGCACTTATCGACTCTTTGTTGTTAATATCAGTTGACTAACCCCGCTTTTGGTTGTAAATAAGTTTAGTTGAATTTTGAGTATATATTGTATCGGTTGATTAGTTTTGTATATGTTTTGTAGGTATTTGAGCATTGCTGGAGCAAGAGGAATAAAGCTCCAAGATGAATATTTGGATTAATAAAGGAAGAAGACCAATTGGAGGCTCGATGAAGTTATACAGTGGAAGCAACAAAAGTTGTTGAACTATCATGCATCGTTGGGAGAAATTCCTGTTGTCGGGCGATAATGGGCGAGGATGGACCAATTTTGATGTTGCCTCAGCCTTGCTTCGCGTCTAGGTCGTCGGGCGAAAATAAAGAGAGTCATCGGGCGAAGCTTTGTGTTGTCTGGCGACGGTAGATATTTTTTATCAGTTGAGGACATGGTGCAGTTTGGACCAAGTGTATAGAAGGAATCTCCGGGCGATGCTTTTGAGTCACCGGGCGATTGTCGCAAAACATAATTATGTTATATTTTCCTTTTCATTTCATTTGGAGAGTGATGGTTTTAGGGGTGATTTTTGTTCTCCCAACTCCATCAACCTCATTTTTGTAGTGGATTAGCTTAGATAACAACACTAGGGCTTTGCTTATGGATGATTGGAGTTGGATTTCTCATTGACCGACTCTGACAAACCGGAAGATTTATGGTTTATCTCTTCTCATCTTTATGTATTTCTCTTTTGTTGGGTTTTGTATGTATTTTACTTTGAACTTATGGATATTTGTCGCCCATGACGTTATATAAAGCTTGTTTTACAAATCTTTGTTGATTGTTGTCTTGGATTTTTGTCATGTGGTAGGGATTTGAGTTGTTATAGACATATACTGTTATGAACTCTAGAGATAGATTTAGAGATGACATCTACTTGGGTATCAGAGCTTAATGCCTTTGTGGTTATGTTGTTCTGAGAGATCGTCAGTGCGATTACATAGTTGTCTTTTGTGTTATTGAGGAGGTAGAGAGATCGTTTCCTTGGTGATAAAGTCAGTATCTTAATTTGGGTTAGAAATGACTTAGGTTGTGAGTGATATGTAGTAACATTGATGAGTATTGTTAGGTTGAATGTAACTGATCGATAGATTTAAGTCTGTGATGAGTATATTATTTACAGGCTTGATAAGTTCTTCCTTAATTTTTACTTTTGTTTACATTTATTTTCTGTTGATACTTTTCTATACCATTCAAACCCCAAACTCATTAATGAATGATTTATCGAACAGTGATTCAATAACCAATATCTGTGGATACGATACGATATAACCTATATCAACCGGTAAATTAATAACTTACTTTTCGCTTACCGTTATACCGTTGCAACAGAATATCAAACCATTACCTGCCGAAACTTGTTATTTAGGCATCCAAAAAGAAAAAATCACAAAAAAATCCTACCTATTCTTCAGAGTGCAAATTTCCAGGTTTTTTTAGTATTTAATATTCATCTACCTTGAAAGTTCGAAACACTAGCGTCAATCTCACTTTCAGGTTAAAGACGATTAAATAGGGACAGTGGTTGCACCCTAAAATTTTCCCTCCTAATTATACTTTTATCGGGTTTAGACTTTGCATTCATCTGCATATATTCTGTTAGGTTAATAACATAGCATGCATTTTCATTCAATAAAGTGATTAAGGCTCAAAAGATCAGCTGACTATGCAAGTTAGGATTTTCAATGACTGAGGTGTATATGTTCAATAAAGCCCTATTCTTCTGATTATTCTTTAAGCTACGAGGCTACTCTTTTCTTCTCAATATCAAGTTACAAGGTTTTATGCGGTGAAGCTAAGGATTTGGATTTACATCTTATCAAACTTGAGCTTGTCGGCATTCTACTTGAGGTTTATTCCATATCAAAGTGTTCCCATGTCTCAGGTTTCATATCCATCTTCAAAAAGTTCCTCAAAGGATGGTCATTACGTTAACACCATCTATAGGGAAGGGGTTTTGTCAAAGATATGTTATGATTTGTGAAGCATCGTCATTCTTTTGGATATTTGTGCTTGGCATGCAAGTTTGGGTTGAATTGGAAAATTGAATGGAATTAAGGTTTCATTGGATTGAGTTAGGATTGTGAAGTGTTCATTCAAATTTTTCTTGATACCAAAGATTCAAGTTGTTCAAGTTTGTCGAAATGACATCAAAGCTACATGTCTTATTCATTAAGCATACAAGGTTGGAAAATGTACTTATAGAGTTTCCTTAGAATTCAAGGGTAATGCTATAAAAGAGATATCATTTAACTTTGTTTTACAAGACAAGTTCAAAAACCATGCCTCGACCAAACTTGACTTCATATTCATGACCATTACAATTTACTTTTCAGTAATCATATCATTGCATACCCATAAAAAATTACGAATGAATTCACTTTGATTAAGTTGATAAGATCCTAGACCTACTCTTCAAATTTCAGCCCCACGATATATTGATTCTAAAGTCCAATATATTTCTCCTTCCTAAATTCTCATCTATGCCAAATCTCCAAATGGACCGGTTGTTGTATTTACGACGAAACTACAAACCTGCACCAAAATACCAGAACAAAATTAACATACTTTTTGTATCATTAGTACATACAACATAGATAAATCCAGCTGGCCCATGCTATAAAAACAACCATACGCATAAAAATGCAAAGTTTCAGATCACCACACAGTAAAGTGCTTCTCAGCTCAGACCATGTATTCATCGATCCAACATAACCATGACCAAAGGCCTTTTTCAAACTCTTCTCAACATGAAACAGTGCCCTGCACCAGTGCTAATAAAACCATATCAGAAGTATATAAACAGAAAAAATCAGAAGAGTTTTATCAGATCAGTACAAAAGACAACTCAGCAAAACTTGCTAACAAAGCTTTCATTCAGATTCAATCCTATCCATCTATTCCCTAACAGAAAATTAGGATCTAACGGCTCAGATTTAGTTCCATCCTAACGAACTTTCTAACAAACTAACAGAAATATAAAACAGAAAACTCACTTGAGATCGATTTATTCTTCAATTTCTGCAGAAGAATCGCACAGAAAACTCCAAGAAACTCTCTCTTCTCCTCTTATCTTTATCTTCACCATTCTTCATCTTGGAGAATTGCCAAAAATCCACAAAAAACTTCAATCTTCCCCCTCTCTCTGCAATCTTCACGTAGCTTCATCATCATCAATTCTTCATTCATTGAGAAGCATCACAAAAAACTCAGAGCTACAAAATCTCTCGTTTTCTCTGATTCATTCTGCAAACCTCCACAAATTCTGAAGAACCGAATCATTGCAATTAATCATCAATCCACAAACTTAATCTTTCATCAAACTTCAATATGCATCACAGAAAACATACGTCAACACCACTTCTAGAATTGCTTCAACAATGCATCATAATTTGCGATTCTCGGTAACAACTAAAAGCGCAACACAACCGAAAACACAGAGCATCCAATTCACAGGAAGAAGATTAGATTAAAGAATTAACCTCTGGTTTTCTTACAAACGTCACCGTTGAAATACCGTCGGAGCGACTCCGACAGGTAAGTCGAATTGCTTTTCTCCTTCATCACTTCACATATTTCTTGCATCATGATGTAGCGAGTATTGCTCTTGAGCTTTAAAGAAATCGTTGCTTGAAGTTTCTGACAAGTAGAAACGTGGTAAGAAGCTATAGATACGGCGGCGTGTTTCAATTGAAGTAGGGAGAAGAGAAAGATAAAGGCTTGATTGAGAACCGAATGGAACCGAGTCAGAGAAGACGTAGCAAGTTCATCGGGGAAGAGAGATTGAGACGAGGTTGAGGCACATATTGAAGCTTTGAAGGTTGAAATTGCTGAGAAATTGATCGGAGACAGGGATTGATGATTGAGACGAGGCGAGTTTTATGGCGTTTTGACGGCAGAGATTGTCGGAGCTGAAGGAGGTTGAGGCTGCCGTTTTTTAGAAGAAGATGAGAGAAGGAGAGCCGCCGCGCCGTTGAGAGGATGACGTCGGAAGAAGAAATATCTGGTGATGATGATCGGAGAAAGAAGGTTGAGGGGAAGGCACCGCCGTTAGTGCGTGAAGACGAAGGATATCGTTTTCTCATAGAAGATGAAGAGTCCCAATCCTTCAACCCTATCTCTAAAAAGACCAAACGACACCCGTTAACTCTATTTATTTTTCAATTTTACTATTTGTTTTCATTTCCTTTTATTAATAACACTAAGAATAAATATAATATTGAATGACTTTGGGCTTGGATGTTGGTGATTTGGTGGTATGACATGGGTTCAATCTCAATCCCTGGGCCGAAATGATGTATCTCTTTACTAGGCACGTTGGCTGGATTTTTTTGGACAATTGCCTTGCAAAAAAAGTAGCAATGTGGACTCAAAATGAATTGGGCCTAGCACCCTGACTTCTGTACCCCCTGGATTGCAACTCAACACCCCCCTGATCATCCTAATTTTCTTATTAAAATTTATGGATTTTTTTTTCTTAGTTTTTGCTATATGTTACATGATAAAAAAAATTACAAAATCAAATATAAATTTGGTAGAGTTTTTTTAATTTTATTTTAAGGATTAATTCAAGATTATCCGATTTCCCGAGACTTGCAATTCATCTTTGTTTGTTGAGATTTGAATATTATGCAAGTTTATTGTGTGATATGTGTTGTACCCCAAAATTTGCTCTCTCATATTTCTCAAAACATTGCAAGAAAAATCTCCAAGTGGCTCAAGCTTGCTCAAGAGTTGGTCAGACAAGTTATCTCCTAAGGTAGTCAACCCCAAATTAGGGTTTTGTGTTGCATCAAGATCTTTGAATCCAAATGGCCTCAAGTGCTCCCCAATGTCCTAATATGTTCTCAAGGTCATCCATGCCAAGTTTCAAGCCTTGCAGAGGAAGTTTGCTCAGTCAATTGCTCAAAGGGTCCAAAAATCGATTGTGCTAGGGCAAAAGTCAACTGTGACCTACAAACAGTCAAACTTCAAGATTTTTTGTCAACATTATCATTTTTAAGGATATCTCATCATTTGATCAAGGGTTAATCATGATTCATCAAGGATTGCTCAAAAGTCATCAAGACTCAAAAGTTGCTAAATTAGGGTTTTGTAGGAAAAGTCAACCCAACTTTGACCAAGCATAACTTTCTCATACTTTATGAGAAATGACCCATCCAAATCTCATTTTGAATAGGTTGCAGTTTCCTACAATTCATCTTCATACCCCGAGATCAAAAAATGCACTCACAAGAAGTTATGATTAGAGTTATCTATTTGTTTATATCTTGCCATACACATCCTAATTACTAGCATTTTATATTTGGAAAAGCGTTAAATTGCAGAAATATAAAAGTCTTACGCTATTACAATATTTTAGGGATGGGGGTACATATTTCACAAATAGGGGGTTGCAAGAATTTAAATCCTATTTAACTATTACAAACATATTAAAATGTACAACGTAAGAAAGAAAAGGACTTTGTTTAGAAAATGGTTTTTTTGTCTTAATAAATTAAAAGGAAAATAATTATTTAATAGAAGAAAATATTTTTGATGTCTTTTTATAAAAATAGTTCTAATGCTAAAAATGATTAAAAAAATAAGAGAGAAAAAGGAAAAATAGTGAGAAATAGGGTCAGCGCGTTGTTGAAAGCAAAATAAAGAGGATCAGAAGTTCTGATGATGTGTACTGTAGCTCGGAAGGAAACGTCAGAGGATGGTCTAAAGTTCTGGGTTGATGCCGTTAGAATCCTGAAAGAGACGTTAGAGGGAAAAAACAGAAGTTCTGGGTCGATGTCGTTAGAATCCTGAAAGAGACGTTAGAGGGAAAAAACAGAAGTTCTAGGTCGTGCTTAGACATTGAGCAAAAGGTCAGAAGTTCTGTGTTATGTTAAGCAGTGAGTAAAAATCATAAGTTCTAAGTATTAAAACAGTAGAAAGAACTCAGAAGTTTAATATGTGTTAAGACAGTGAGTGGACATCAGAAGTTTAGTGTGTGTTAACAGCGAGTGAATCATATAAGTTTTGTATGTTAAAACAGTGAAGAGAACTCAGAAGTTCTGCGTGCTTAAACAGTGAAAAAATCCTATAAATTTTGTGTGTTAAAATGGTGAATGAAAAACATAAGTTTTGTGTTACATTTCAACTCTTTCCTCATATTAATCAGCACATCAACAATTTATTCAGTCCTTAACAACAAATCAGGAGGATAAAAGCACAACAGTTTATAGAAGTTCTAATCCTAATTCTGAGCCTAGCCTTAATCAAGAAGTTCTGATCCATGATTTTTTTCTTATGCAATGATATGGACAACATCAACACTATGATATTTACATATTTAATGATGTTCTGAATGAGAAGATCCAAAGCTAGAAAGATTTACCTTGAATCTAGAGCGTGTGCTTGGAACTTGAACTGATGCCTTCAGATGTTCTGGAGTCAGTAAGAGCAACGGAAGAGAAAATGCCAAGTTCTTTGATTCAAAGGGAAGAACAAAGGTTTGGTTTTCTATTTGGGAATTCTCGATTTTTACGAAGGTTTCACAGTTTTCTTTTCTCTCTTTTGACAATTTTCTCTCTCCAAAATCCAGCCTCCTGAACGTGTGATAGAGCAAATTATTTATAGATGGGTTTGCTGTAGTTTGGGGGGGGGGGGGGGGGGACAAATGGGATTCAAACCTTTTTGGTATACTATTTCATTGCTTTTTAATCACAGTTTTCGTATGCTAATTTGGTGCAAATATAAGGTTTAGGAAAAATGCAGGCGTGGACTAGATCAGCAACAATTTGGAGTGTTGTGGCAGCTGGTTGCAGGACTGTGGTATAGCAGTGCAGCAGGCTGTTCAAATAAGGTTTTGGGGTTTTGTGATGTTCTGATCGAAGAATACCAGAATGAAACTCGAAGGGTGATGCTCTGATCAAAGCATATGCTGAAGAGTCATGCTCTGATTGAAGAACTATGTTCTGAACCATGTTTGCAACTTCTGAATGGACTTGCATGGAGGCTGGCTCAGAAGTTCTAAAGTATCATATTCTCTTAACACTTAGAAAATTTTCTAAATGTTTAGAAATTTGATTTTTTTCAAAGTAATTTATGACTTCTAATTTTTTGATGAACCAATTTCATGTCTTGATGAAATATAATTGTTGAAACTTGATTTTTAATCTAGAAGTCAAATTTTGACTTTTCAGTATGCTTTTGACCATTTTGCCCTTGTGGATGATTTTCTTGAAAAGTTGTAATTCAGGACTTGAAACTTGATATAAGAAAACCAGAGAGTCCAGGATGATCCTTTGAGAAATGAGAGGGAAAATTTGGGGGTACAACATCTGCCCCTGTTCAATCTTCTTAAGCATGAGGATGTAGATTGGTCGGCCTGCCTTTCGTGATCTGAAGGTGGAAGATGATTGAACACTAGGGTGCCCAGAAATTTGCACTCGCATGAAGTAATACTGATTGGTGATATCAAGAATGGGCTTGCAGATGCCATCCCGAAAAGATCGGTTGTATAAGAGATTCCTTGGCAAGAATTCCTGTACCTGTAGTTGAGGAGGACTTCGCCGAGGAATTTTGATTTATGTCCTGGGAAGTAGAGTCTAGGAGCTTCGGTTGTTCATTACTCTGCTGGGGAATTAACTCTTGATTTAGGAGGTGAAATTAGAATGCATATCTAGTTAGGGTCCAGGTTGTACATAGGCTTACTGGGGAAATGTGAAATCGACCATATCTGGTCGAGTCCGGGCCTTACAGTGCTGTAAACTATTGTCTAGAGATAAGGGAGAAGGAACCTGGATAGTAGGGTTACTTCGAGATGAAAGCATGGATAGTAGGGCCATGAGAAGGAACCTGGGTAGCAGGGTTACTTCGAGATGACAGCCTGGATAGTAGGGCTATGAGAAGGACCCTGTGTAATAGGGTTACTTCGAGATGAAAGCCTGGATAGTAAGGCCATGAGAAAGAACCTGGGTAGTAGGGTTACTTTGAAATGAAAGTCTGGATAGTAGGGCTATGAGATGGAACCTGGGTAGTAGGGTTACTTCGAAATGAAAGCCTGGATAGTATGGCTATGAGAAGGAACCTGGGTCGTAGGGTTACTTCGAAATGAAAGCTTGGGTAGTAGGGCCATGAGAAGGAACCTGGGTCGTAGGGTTACTTCGAAATGAAAGCCTGGGTAGTAGGGCCATGAGAAGGAACCTGGGTCGTAGGGTTACTTCGAAATGAAAGTCTATGTAGTAGGGCCATGAGAAGGAACCTGGGTCGTAGGGTTACTTCGAAATGAGAGCCTGGGTAGTAGGGCCATGAGAAGGAACCTGGGTCGTAGGGTTACTTCGAAATAAAAGTCTGGATAGTAGGGCTATAAGAAAGAACCTGAATAGTAGGGTTACTTCGAAATGAAAGCATGGGTAGTACGGTTACTTCGAAATGAAAGTCTGGGCAATAGGGCCATGAGAAGGAACCTAGGTCGTAGGGTTACTTCGAAATGAAATCATGGGTAGTAGGGCCATGAGAAGGAACCTGGGTCGTAGGGTTACTTCGAAATGAAAGCCTGGATAGTAGGGCCATGAGAAGGAACCTGGGTCGTAGGGTTACTTCGAAATGAAAGCCTGGATAGTAGGGCTATGAGAAAGAACCTAAATAGTAGGGTTTCTTCAAGATGAAAGCCTGGGTAGTAGGGCTATGAGAAGGAACCTGGGTAGTAGGGTTACTCCGCTTGATCATGTAGATTAGTTGACCCATTTAGTTTTGGGAACTGGTTTTTTTTCATTATCTGTCTGCAGATATGACATGTATAATTGCTAGAATTGTTGGTGATAAATGTCTTTCCCGAAAAGACAATAGGGTTAATCATATGTGATGCATGAAATGCGTTGTGAGATGATGTTCTCAAAATAAATGAGATTATGTTGTACGTGATATTTGTGTGCATGTCATGATATATGAACATGAGATGTTATTTGTGACATATCCGAGTCCAGGAAAATAAATCCCTGACTGCTACTGGAGAATATAGCATTTCTGACTGTTGTAGAGAACTGTGGTTCTTCTACTTCCGTTGGAGATGGTGAACAGAAATGATTGTGCCGGAGATTTGTTCTTTGTT